GAGACAGTCGAAATCACCTTCCATCTTGACGCCTTCCGGAACAGCGCAGAACACCTTCTCCTTCATCACTCCATACAGGAACGCAGTCACCACATCGAGCTGGTCGAGGGGCCATCCAAAGTGCTTGGAAATTGCGATCACCATTCGCAGCGTCACATACTTGACCACAGGCGAAAACGTCTCCGTGTAGTCGATGCCATACTTTTGGCGGAAACCCTTGGCCACAAGTCGTGCCTTGTACTTCTCGATTGACCCATCCGCCTTGCGCTTGATCTTGAACACCCATTTTGTGCCAATGGCGCGTTGTCCGTTGGGCAGCTTGGCTGCACGAAACACACGGCGAAGTCGCATTGAATCGAGCTCTGCATGAATTGCTTTTCTCCAGTGCACTTGGTCAGGGCCGCTTACTGCTGCTTCAAATGTTGAGGGCTCTGATAAGTCCACTGCTGCTTCAACGGCATTTGCACTCGCACGCCAAAACACAGGCGGTGTTGAATCACCAGAATCCTTCGTTTCTTCGTCTTCTTCTTGGCGTGACGAGTTGTTTTCCGGCGCGCTTGACTCTTCTAGTCCTGGTCGTTGACGCACTGCACGCGGTCGTGGAGCTACTGTATCTTCATCATTGAGTCGGTTCTTGCGCTTGCCTTTTTGCTTGTACTCCATTTGACGCAGCTCTTCGTCATCAAGATCCAGAATTTCGAAGTCCAGGTCATTGACATCTTCATCAGTGATCGGCAGTTGAAGTCCAAAGGTGGACTCTTCGAAGTTGACATCGCGGCTGATAACCACCTGCCCCGCCTCGATGTCATAAACACGATATGCCTTCGAAACTTCTTCGTAGCCCACGAATATGCCAGCGCGAGCCTTTGGATCCCACTTGAGTCGATTCTCTTTAGGCGTCAGTATGTATGTCTGACACTTGAATGTTCGCATGTGCTTGACGCTTGGTTTCAAGTTGTAGGCGACCTCAAACGGGGTCTTGTGCACGACTTTAGGTGACGGCAGTCAATTCTTGACGTAGATGGCCGTCATCGCTGCTTCGGCCCAGAAGCACTTGTCCAACTTGGCATGGTGAAGCATGCTGCGGCCGATCGTGACGATAGTCCCGATGGCGCGATTGCTGTTCTGTTGTTCTGGTGTGCATACGGCACCGTCGTCTGCTGTTCAATGCCTTCGTCTTCGTAGAACAGTTGAAGCGAGTTGGTTGCAAACTCGCGAGCTCCGTCGTGTCGCACAAACTTAACTTTTTTACTGAACTGCGTCTGTACCATACTAATGTACTTTCGGATGTAGTCTTCACTCTCGGACTTCACTCGTGAGCAAAGCCCCTCATACACCCACTGGCTTTGTCTACGATCAGTAGCAGATATCTGTTGCCACCGAGCGATTCGATTTCCATGATCCCACAGATATCCAGATGAAGCAGCTCGAACGTATAGTAGTTACGCTTGTCGCGGTTGCTTGAGAATGGTTTTTGGACCATTTTACCTTGTTGGCACCCTCGACATGTAGTTGCTCCACCCGACTTGAGAGGGACTCGCACATCCTTGATCATGTTGGTCGCGATCATCTTGCGAAGTACATCGACTGGAGCATGACCCATTCTCGCATGTAGATCGGCACAACTGGTTCCGCTTGTTGTCACATTCGCTGATCGTTGAGTCGTCCGAAGCCAGTAGAGTCCATCCACGAGATCCGCTGTCGCCACCACTTGCTGTGAGTTCTTGAGAGTCACATACATCTTGGACCCGTCAAACACGACTTGAAACTTGCTATGGCTGTTAATCTGTGGCACCGAGAGCAGGTTCTTGTTGACGGTCATCGGTTTCCTACCAGTATTGGTAACCGTGACCGGTCCAATCCGAACCGCGTGTTCAGCTTAGTATTTACGACGTAGTTCTTACGGTAATTACCATAGTTGATTAGACGCGTAGGATGATGAGACGCTTCACATGATTTGTATGTGCACCACATATAAATCATGTAGTAAGTAGTAAGCCCCGATAATCAATCACTTTCCAAACTTCCATCTACCCCCAAGTGTCTTCTCCGGTCTTCCGAGCGGACTCCCAGCATCCCTCCCAGTTTCGGTCGTCCAACTTTTCACCATTCAACAGGTTATGAGCCCAAGCACGATGTCCTCTGCTCATGATGCCACCACCAAGATCTCCATCGACAAGTTCGACGGCGACAACTACGCGACGTGGAGCCGCTACATGCGTGGCGTGTTCCTGACCAAGTCGGCGTGGCACGTGGTGAACCGGGAGACGTCGGCGACCTACGCGGACGATCGCGCCATGGACGACTACGTCAAGACGAACAACATTGCGTTCGGCTTGATGCTGCTGCACATGAGCGCGGATTATCATCACGTGGTTGATGACTGTGAAGAGGCGTGTGTCGCGTGGGCGCGTTTGAAGACGCTGTACGGCGGGTCGCAGAAGGCTGTACGCATCTACTTGAAGCGCCAGATGTTCAGCATGGAGATGGCGGAAGGCGGCAATGTGATGCATCATTGCAACGAAGTCCTCAACATCAGCGCGAAGCTCAGCAGCATCGGCGCCAAGATGGAGGACGAGGACGTGGCGATCTGCTTGTTGTGCAGCCTCCCCAAGAGCTACGAGAACGTCGTTCTCAACTTGGAGATGAGCAGCGCGGAACTGCGATCGCGAGACGTCGTGAGAGTGCTCACGAATGAGCTCATCAAGAGGCAAGGTGACAAGACGACATCGGTGAAGACTGAAGACGCGGCGAAGGCGTTCACTACCGAGCGTGAACCTCGCCAGTGTACATACTGCGGAAAATTGGGGCACACGGCGGAGCGGTGCTGGACCAAGCAGAAGGATGAAAATCAAGGTGGAGCTCGACGCGGCGGCAACAATGCTCGTGGACGCGGAGCCAGCAACGTTCAGTGGCTAACCAACAACAACAACGACGACAACCTCGATCGAGTTGCGTTCGCGGTTTCGCTGGAGGCTGGACTTTCGACGGGCAAGAATATGCCAGGGATGTGGGCAGTCGACAGCGGTGCGACGCATCACATCTGCAACGACAAAGCCAAGTTTACAAGCCTGAATGAGCGAGAGGAAGACGAACTATCAGTGGCTGATGGCAGCAAGGCTGCGATCAAGGGTGTGGGAACCATCATGGAACGGGTGGTTCTGCCCAATGGTGACGAACGTGACATCAAGATCAAGGACGCACTGTTCGTACCAAGTATGAGCAAGAATCTGCTTTCGGTGCCACAGATCAACAAGGGTGGCAGGTTCCAAGTCGTGTTCGATGGATCCAAGATGCAAGTGAAGCGCAAGAATTCCACACAAGTCGTGGCAACAACGGATCTCGTCGATGGACTTTACTGGCTGCGGACTCCTCAACGATCGGCAAATGCAGCAACACGCAATGGGACTATCGACTTGCATGCGCGCATGGGTCATGCACCCCTCGAAGTTCTGCGCAAGATGGTGGCCACTGGCATGATCAAGGACGCCAAGGCACCTCTCAACTCGACTGGTCCAAGTGTGTGTCGCGGTTGCCAGCAAGGAAAGATGGTCCAAAAACCATTCCCAACCAACCGTGACAAACGCCAATATGGTGTGTTCGAGTTGCTGCACTTCGACATCTGCGGGCCAATGGAACAAGTCTCGATCGGCGGCAGCAGATACTTACTGCTTGTGATTGACGAAGCCAGCGGTTGCATGAAGGGCTTCTGTCTGCGGTCCAAGTCTGAGAGTGAAGACTGTATCAAGAACCACATCATCAAGATTCAGAATCAGTTTGGCACCAAGATCAAGTTTGTTCGGCACGATGGAGCGCATGAGTTTGCGACCAACTCCATCAAGACCTTCTACGAAGATCATGGTATCGAACAACATATCACGGTGCCCTATGCACACCAGACCAACGGCACCGCAGAACGCGCGATAAGGACCATCGTCACGATCGGACGCAGCTTGTTGCATCATGCAAAGCTGGAGAAGTGTTTCTGGGCTGAAGCGGCAATGACGGCGATCTACATCAAGAACCGCCTGCCTTCACCCAAGATCGACCACAAGACTCCGTTCGAGATCGTGTACAAGTCGAAACCAAGTGTCAAGCACATGCGCGTGTTTGGATGTCGGGCGTTTATCCTGACACCAAGGGAGAAGCGATTGAAGTGGGACCCGAAGGCTCGTGAAGGGATGTTCATGGGCTACGAAGAAGCGTCAAAAGCTTATCGAGTGTACGACATTGAGGCGGACCAAGTGGTGATCAGTCGTGACATCACCTTCGACGAATCGACTTTTGACTTTTCGATGGACCGACCAAGTGACGATGATGAAGATGCGGAGTTGGACCTCGACCTCCTGGCGATCAACGAGGACGACGTGCGTCAAACCGTCTACAAGCAGACTGGCAAGCGCAAGAGTGAAGCAAGACCCGGCATGTCACGTTCAGCTCGCCCTCGAACTGGATTGGAACAAGCAAGTGCGCCGGAACACGTCTCCAACCGTCACCAGAAACGACGATCAAGTGCTCCAGAAACGATGTCTGATGACGAAGAAGATGCGAGCGTCTACGATCAAGATGACGACTCGACACCTCCAACATTTTGGCGTGCAAGTGCAAACGCAGTGGAAGCAACGGACCTAGCAGAACCTGTGACTTTTCAAGACGCGATCAATGGTCCTGATCAAGCTCACTGGCGAAATGCTGTGAAGGCGGAACTCAAGTCGATGCATCTTCGTGGAGTTTTCCGTGCGGCAAAACTGCCAAGAGGCCAAGGCGCGATCGGCACCAAGTGGCTGTTCAAGATCAAGCGCAAAGCGGATGGATCGGTCGAGAAATACAAGGCGCGTCTCGTTGCCAAGGGCTTCAAGCAGAAGTACGGCATCGACTACACAGAGACGTTCTCGCCCGTGGTCAAGTACGTGACGCTGCGTATGGTGATCGCGATCACCAAGTATTTCGACTGACCACTGGACCAACTCGATGTGGTGACAGCCTTTCTCTACTGAGTGATGAAGGAGAAGGTGTACTGCGTGATACCAGAAGGCGTCGAGATGGATGGCGACTTCGACTGTCTCGAGTTGGTGAAGGCGATCTACGGTCTCAAGCAAGCTTCACGTATGTGGAACGAGACTTTCGACGAGTTCGTATGCTTTATGGGTTTCGAAGCGTCGGCGTTCGACCCATGTCTCTACATCAAGGTTGTCGACGGTCACTGTGTGCTCGTGCTGGTCTACGTGGATGACGTGTTGGTCACCGGCAGCTCGCTCGAGTTGATTGCGCAGACGAAGGCCGACATCAAGACGCGTTTCGAGATGACCGACAGTGGCAAGTGTACTTTTGTACTGGGCATCGAACTGGTGGACGAATCGGATGGCAGCGTGACGATGTGCCAGCGACGGTATGCCAGCGACATCCTCAAGCGCTTCGGCATGGATGAGTGCAAGGCCACAGCAAGTCCGGTCGACTTGAGCACTCGGCTTGTCGCAAGCACCGAAGCGGCCAAGATCGACGTTCCGTTTCGTGAAGCTGTGGGAGCTTTGATTCACTTGACGACTGCGACGCGCCCGGACATTGCGTATGCTGTGGGGTACGTCTCGCGCTTTATGGAGAATCCGCAGCAAGAACATTGGACAGCGGAATACATCGCACTGAGTCTGGCCATCCAGGAAGGCAAGTGGGTGCATCGCCTGCTATGCGAGATTTTGGCGGCCGCAAACGAACCAGGACCGGACCTCGTCATCCGTGAAGACAACCAGTCGTGCATCAAGATGACGAAGAGTCCGGTGAATCATGGCCGCGCCAAGCACATCGACATCAAGTACCATCACATCCGTGATGAGGTCAAGCGCGGTGAAGTGCAGCTCGAGTATTGCGAGACTTCCGTGATGATGGCGGACATCATGACCAAGGGACTTTCGGGACCTCGCCATAAGGACTTGACGACGGCTCTCGGCATTCGTGCGAGTTCGCATTGAGGGGGCGTGTTGACGGTCATCGGTTTCCTACCAGTGTTGGTAACCGTGACCGGTCCAATCCGAACCGCCTGTTCAGCTTAGTATTTACGACGTAGTTCTTACGGTAATTACCATAGTTGATTAGACGCGTAGGATGATGAGACGCTACACATGATTTATATGCACACCACATATAAATCATGTAGTAAGTAGTAAGCCCCGATAATCAATCACTTTCCAATCTGCCATCTACCCCCCAAGTGTCTTCTCCGGTCTTCCGAGTGGACTCCCAGCATCACTCCCAGTTTCGGTCGTCAAGCTTTTCACCATTCAACAGTTCTTGCTCATACTTGGAACATATAGCGCGTTCTTGATTTCGATCTCACGCTCTTCACCGTTGGGCAGAACCACCTTTTCCATGATGGTTCCCACACCCTTGATGGCCACCTTGTTGCCATCAGCCACCAAGAGTTCGCCCTCATTGCGCTCTGCCAAACTTGCGAACTTGGTCTTGTCGTGGCAAATGTGGTGCGTTGCACCACTGTCGACGGCCCACATTCCAGACACGTCCTTGCTCGTCGAAACTCCACATTCGAACGAGACTGCAAACGCCACTCGATCGTAGCCATTGCCTTCATCATGATGTCCCCACTGGACATTGTTAGCCCCGCGTCCACGACCATTGCCGCCGCGTCGGGCTCCCCCAACCTTCGTTCTTCTGCTTTGTCCAGCAACGATCCACCGTGTGTCCCACCTTGCCACAATACGTGCATTGGTAGGGCTCACGCTCGGCGCTGAATGCCTTGCTTGCATCTTCAGCCTTCACCGTAGTCGCTGTCGTTGTCCCTTTTGCTCCTTGACGCTTGGCATGCTCATTCGTCAGGACTCTCACCACATCTTGAGTGCGAAGCTCGGTGCTGCTCATTTCCATGTTGAGCACCACATTTTCGTAGCTCTTCGGAAGACTGAGTAGCAGACAAATTGCAACGTCTTCGTCTTCCATCTTCGCACCGATGCCGCTAAGCTTGGCGGAGATGTTAAGGACCTCGTTGCAGTGATGCATGACGTTCGCGCCTTCAGCCATCTTGATACTGAAAAGTTGTCGCTTGAGGTAGATGCGTCCTGCCTTCTGCGACCCACCGTACAGCGTCTTCAGACTTGTCCACGCAACCCAGGCTTCCTCGCAGTTGTCCAGCACATGATGGTAGTCCGCGTTCATGTGCAGCAGCATCATACCAAACGCGACGTTGCTTGCCTTGACGTAGTCATCGGACGCTCGCGGGTCGGTGAAAGTCGGAGTCACTTCACGGTTGACCACGTGCCAGACGGACTTCGTCAAAAACACACCGCGCATGTACCGGCTCCACGTTGCGTAATTGTCTCCGTTGAACTTGTCAATGGAGGCGTTGCTGGTGGAAGACATGGCGCTTGGGCTCATAACCTGTTGCATTGTAGATCGGAGCGAGGAAAGCGGAGCGAACGGAGTGGAGAGACCGAAGAGAGTAGAGCAGAAAACACTTGCCCAATAGTTGGAAGATTCGAAAGTGATTGATTATCGGGGCTTACTACTTACTACATGATTTATATGTGGTGTACATACAAATCATGTGAAGCGTCTCATCATCCTACGCGTCTAATCAACTATGGTAATTACCGTAAGAACTACGTCGTAAATACTAAGCTGAACAGGCGGTTCGGATTGGATCGGTCACGATTACCAATACTGGTAGAAAACCGATGACCGTCAACACGCCCCCTCAATCCGAATGCTCACGAATCCCGAGAGTCGCCGTCATCTCCTTGTGGCGTGGTCCATGAAGTCCCTTCGTCATGATGTCCGCTAACATCACCGCAGTTTCACAGTACTTGAGCTTCACTTCACCGCGCTTGACCTCATCACGGATGTGATGGTACTTGATATCAATGTGCTTGGCACGGCCGTGGTTGACCGGGTTCTTCGTCATCTTGATACATGACTGATTGTCTTCATGAATCATGAGTTCCGGTCCTTCTTCATTGGCAGCCACCACGATCTCACAAAGCAGACGATGAATCCACTTGCCCTCTTGAATCGCCAAGCTGGGTGCGATGTATTCAGCTTCAGTCGTGGACAACGAAACACTTGGCTGCTTCTTGCTGCCCCAACTCACTGGCGCACCGAGTAGCATGAACGTGTACCCCGATGTTGACTCGCGGTCGGTAAGATCACCAGCCCAATCCGCATTCGAATATCCACGGAAGTCGATCCTTGTACCTGGCCTGTAGCAAATTCCATGCGTCTTGGTGCCTTGTAGGTAGCGAAAGATACGCTTAACTGCAACCCAGTGTTCTTCTTGGGGATTTTCCATGAACCGCGACACATAGCCCACAGCAAACGCAATGTCCGGACGCGTTGCAGTGGTCAGGTGCATCAACGCACCAACAGCTTCGCGAAAAGGAGCATCGACCTTGGTAGTTGCATCACTTGAAACAAGTCGAGAGCTCATGTCGACTGGACTTGCGACTGCCTTGCAATCCTCCATGCCAAAGCGCTTGAGGATATCATCGACATACCGATGCTGACATAGTGTCACACTGCCATTTTCACCGTCCAAAAGCTCGATCCCAAGAACAAACGCACACTTGCCGCTGTCCGTCATTTCGAACCGCGTCTTCAGGTCGTTCTTGGTTTGTGCAATCAGCTCGAGCGAGCTTCCAGTCACCAAGACGTCGTCCACGTAGACCAGTATAAACACGCAATGGCCGTCCGAAGTCTTGATGTAGAGACATGGGTCGAAGTCCGATACTTGACATCCGATGGAGCACACATACTCGTCGAACGTCTCGTTCCACACTCGCGACGCTTGCTTGAGGCCGTAAATTGACTTCACCAATTCCAGGCAGTCGAACGTACTGTCAAGTTCGACGCCTTCAGGAATCACGCAGAACACTTGTTCCTTCATGACGCCATACAGGAAAGCTGTCACCACATCAAGCTGGTCGATGGGCCATCCAAAATGCTTGGAAATTGCGATCACCATTCGCAGCGTCACATACTTGACCACAGGCGAAAACGTCTCCGTGTAGTCGATGCCATACTTTTGGCGGAAACCCTTGGCCACAAGTCGTGCCTTGTACTTCTCGATTGACCCATCCGCCTTGCGCTTGATCTTGAACACCCATTTTGTGCCAATGGCGCGTTGTCCGTTGGGCAGCTTGGCTGCACGAAACACACCGCGAAGTCGCATTGACTCGAGCTCTGCATGAATTGCTTTTCTCCAGTGTACTTGGTCAGGGCCGCTTACTGCTGCTTCAAATGTTGAGGGCTCTGATAAGTCCACTGCTGCTTCAACGGCATTTGCACTCGCACGCCAAAACACAGGCGGTGTTGAATCACCAGAATCCTTCGTTTCTTCGTCTTCTTCTTGGCGTGACGAGTTGTTTTCCGGCGCGCTTGATTCTTCTAGTCCTGGTCGTTGACGCACTGCACGCGGTCGTGGAGGTGCTGTATCTTCATCATTGAGTCGGTTCTTGCGCTTGCCAGTTTGCTGATACTCCATTTGACGCAGCTCTTCGTCATCAAGATCCAGAATTTCGAAGTCCAGGTCATTGACATCTTCATCAGTGATCGGCAGTTGAAGTCCAAAGGTGGACTCTTCGAAGTTGACATCGCGGCTGATAACCACCTGCCCCGCCTCAATGTCAAATACACGATATGCCTTGGACACTTCTTCGTAGCCCACGAATATGCCAGCGCGAGCCTTTGGATCCCACTTGAGTCGATTCTCTTTAGGCGTCAGTATGTATGTCTGACACTTGAATGTTCGCATGTGCTTGACGCTTGGATTCAAGTTGTACACGATCTCAAACGGGGTCTTATGCACATTTTTGGTGACGGTAGGCAATTCTTGACGTAGATGACCGTCATTGCTAATTCAGCCCAGAAGCACTTGTCCAACTTGGCATGGTGAAGCATGCTGCGGCCGATCGTGACGATAGTCCCGATGGCGCGATTGCTGTTCTGTTGTTCTGGTGTGCATACGGCACCGTCGTCTGCTGTTCAATGCCTTCGTCTTCGTAGAACAGTTGAAGCGAGTTGGTTGCAAACTCGCGAGCTCCGTCGTGTCGCACGAACTTGACCTTCTTACAGAATTGCGTCTGTACCATGGTGATATATTTCCGGATGTAGTCTTCACTCTCGGACTTCACTCGTAGACAAAAGCCCTTCATGCATCCACTAGCTTCGTCGATGATCAGCAGCAAATATTTGCTGCCACCGAGCGAATCCTTTTCCATGGGCCCGCAGATGTCCAGATGAAGTAGCTCAAACGTATCGTAGCTGCGCTTGTCTCGGTTGCTTGGAAATGGTTTTTGGGCCATTTTTTTTTCCCTTGTTGACATCCTCGACATGTAGTTGCTCCACCCGACTTGAGAGGGACTCGCACATCCTTGATCATGTTGGTCGCGATCATCTTGCGAAGTACATCGACTGGAGCACGACCCATTCTCGCATGTAGATCGGCACAACTGGTTCCACTTGTTGTCACATTCGCTGATCGTTGAGTCGTCCGAAGCCAGTAGAGTCCATCCACGAGATCCGCTGTCGCCACCACTTGATGTGAGTTCTTGAGAGTCACATACATCTTGGACCCGTCAAACACGACTTAAAACTTGCCATGGCTGTTAATCTGTGGCACCGAGAGCAGGTTCTTGCTCATACTTGGAACATATAGCGCGTTCTAGATTTCGATCTCACGCTCTTCACCGTTGGGCAGAACCACCTTTTCCATGATGGTTCCCACACCCTTGATGGCCACCTTGTTGCCATCAGCCACCAAGAGTTCGCCCTCATTGCGCTCTGCCAAACTTGCGAACTTGGTCTTGTCGTGGCAAATGTGGTGCGTTGCACCACTGTCGACGGCCCCCATTCCAGACACGTCCTTGCTCGTCGAAACTCCACATTCGAACGAGACTGCAAACGCCACTCGATCGTAGCCATTGCCTTCATCATGATGTTCCCACTGGACATTGTTAGCCCCGCGTCCACGACCATTGCCGCCGCGTCGGGCTCCCCTGACCTTCGTTCTTCTGCTTTGTCCAGCAACGATCCACCGTGTGTCCCACCTTGCCACAATACGTGCATTGGTAGGGCTCACGCTCGGCGCTGAATGCCTTGCTTGCATCTTCAGCCTTCACCGTAGTCGCTGTCGTTGTCCCTTTTGCTCCTTGACGCTTGGCATGCTCATTCGTCAGGACTCTCACCACATCTTGAGTGCGAAGCTCGGTGCTGCTCATTTCCATGTTGAGCACCACATTTTCGTAGCTCTTCGGAAGACTGAGTAGCAGACAAATTGCAACGTCTTCGTCTTCCATCTTCGCACCGATGCCGCTAAGCTTGGCGGAGATGTTAAGGACCTCGTTGCAGTGATGCATGACGTTCGCGCCTTCAGCCATCTTGATACTGAAAAGTTGTCGCTTGAGGTAGATGCGTCCTGCCTTCTGCGACCCACCGTACAGCGTCTTCAGACTTGTCCACGCAACCCAGGCTTCCTCGCAGTTGTCCAGCACATGATGGTAGTCCGCGTTCATGTGCAGCAGCATCATACCAAACGCGACGTTGCTTGCCTTGACGTAGTCATCGGACGCTCGCGGGTCGGTGAAAGTCGGAGTCACTTCACGGTTGACAACGTGCCAGACGGACTTCGTCAAAAACACACCGCGCATGTACCGGCTCCACGTTGCGTAATTGTCTCCGTTGAACTTGTCAATGGAGGCGTTGCTGGTGGACGACATGGCGCTTGGGCTCATAACCTGTTGCATTGTAGATCGGAGCGAGGAAAGCGGAGCGAACGGAGCGGAGAGACCGAAGAGAGTAGAGCAGAAAACACTTGCCCAATAGTTGGAAGATTCGAAAGTGATTGATTATCGGGGCTTACTACTTACTACATGATTTATATGTGGTGTACATATAAATCATGTGAAGCGTCTCATCATCCTACGCGTCTAATCAACTATGGTAATTACCGTAAGAACTACGTCGTAAATACTAAGCTGAACAGGCGGTTCGGATTGGACCGGTCACTGTTACCAATACTGGTAGAAAACCGATGACCGTCAACATCAAGCCAGTCCCCACAAGATCGGCCATCGCCATTACTTGCTTGGAGCCTTTGTGCGAAATCTTCATCTCGTCAACATCAAACACCACTTGAAACTTGCCGCTTTTGTTGATTTGTGGTATCGACAGCAAGTTCTTGTTCATGCTTGGGACGTAAAGCGCGTTCTTGATCTTGACTTCGCGCTCTTCACCATTTGACAGGACCACCTTTTCGATGATCGTCCCAACACCGTTGATCGCAGCCTTGCTCGCCTCTGCAACCAACACTTCACCTTCATTGCGCTCGTCCATAACTTCGAACTTGGACTTGTCATAGCAGATGTGATGTGTTGTACCGCTGTCAATCGCCCACATTCCAGACATGCTCCTGGTCGTTGAAAGTCCGCATTCCAGCAAAACAGAAAAGGCCACTCAATCATGGTCATAGTAGTTGCCACTGAACTTGATTCGCTCCGCGTCCACCAGCATTGCCGCCGCGTCGAGCTCCCCGATTGTCTTCCTTCTGTGTTGAATGGTGAAAAGCTTGACGACCGAAACTGGGAGTGATGCTGGGAGTCCACTCGGAAGACCGGAGAAGACACTTGGGGGGTAGATGGAAGATTGGAAAGTGATTATTTATCGGGGCTTACTACTTACTACATGATTTATATGTGGTGCACATATAAATCATGTGAAGCGTCTCATCATCCTATGCGTCTAATCAACTATGGTAATTACCGTAAGAACTACGTCGTAAATACTAAGCTGAACAGGCGGTTCGGATTGGACCGGTCACGGTTACCAACACTGGTAGGAAACCGATGACCGTCAACACGCCCCCTCAATGCGAACTCGCACGAATGCCGAGAGCCGTCGTCAAGTCCTTATGGCGAGGTCCCGAAAGTCCCTTGGTCATGATGTCCGCCATCATCACGGAAGTCTCGCAATACTCGAGCTGCACTTCACCGCGCTTGACCTCATCACGGATGTGATGGTACTTGATGTCGATGTGCTTGACGCGGCCATGATTCACCGGATTCTTCGTCATCTTGATGCACGACTGGTTGTCTTCATGGATGACGAGGTCCGGTCCTGGTTCGTTTGCGGCCGCCAAAATCTCGCATAGCAGGCGATGCACCCACTTGCCTTCCTGGATGGCCAGACTCAGTGCGATGTATTCCGCTTCACTCGTCGACAGCGACACACTTGACTGTTTCTTGCTTCCCCAACTCACAGGAGCACCCATCAGCATGAAAGTGTAACCCGAAGTCGACTTGCGATCAGCGTGGTCGCCGGCCCAGTCCGCGTCCGAGTAGCCACGAAAGTCGATCTTGTCGCTTGGCTGGAAGCGGAGTCCGTGCGACTTGGTCCCTTGCAAGTAACGAAAGATGCGCTTCACCGCCGTCCAATGTTCTTGCTGCGGATTCTCCATGAAGCGCGAGACGTACCCCACAGCATACGCAATGTCCGGGCGCGTCGCAGTCGTCAAGTGCATCAAAGCTCCCACAGCTTCACGAAACGGAACGTCGATTGGCCGCTTCGCTGCTTGCGACAAGCCGAGTGCTTAAGTCGACCGGACTTGCTGTGGCCTTGCACTCATCCATGCCGAAGCGCTTGAGGATGTCGTTGACATACCGTCGCTGGCACATCGTCACGCTGCCATCCGATTCGTCCACCAGTTCGATGCCCAGTACAAAAGTACACTTGCCACTGTCGGTCATCTCGAAACGCGTCTTGATGTCGGCCTTCGTCTGCGCAATCAACTCGAGCGAGCTGCCGGTGACCAACACGTCATCCACGTAGACCAGCACGAGCACACAGTGACCGTCGACAACCTTGATGTAGAGACATGGGTCGAACGCCGACGCTTCGAAACCCATAAAGCATACGAACTCGTCGAAAGTCTCGTTCCACATACGTGAAGCTTGCTTGAGACCGTAGATCGCCTTCACCAACTCGAGACAGTCGAAGTCGCCATCCATCTCGACGCCTTCTGGTATCACGCAGTACACCTTCTCCTTCATCACTCAGTAGAGAAAGGCTGTCACCACATCGAGTTGGTCCAGTGGTCAGTCGAAATACTTGGTGATCGCGATCACCATACGCAGCGTCACGTACTTGACCACGGGCGAGAACGTCTCTGTGTAGTCGATGCCTTACTTCTGCTTGAAGCCCTTGGCAACGAGACGCGCCTTGTATTTCTCGACCGATCCATCCGCTTTGGGCTTGATCTTGAACAGCCACTTGGTGCCGATCGCGCCTTGGCCTCTTGGCAGTTTTGCCGCACGGAAAACTCCACGAAGATGCATCGACTTGAGTTCCGCCTTCACAGCATTTCGCCAGTGAGCTTGATCAGGACCATTGATCGCGTCTTGAAAAGTCACAGGTTCTGCTAGGTCCATTGCTTCCACTGCGTTTGCACTTGCACGCCAAAATGTTGGAGGTGTCGAGTCGTCATCTTGATCGTAGACGCTCGCATCTTCTTCGTCATCAGACATCGTTTCTGGAGCACTTGATCGTCGTTTCTGGTGACGGTTGGAGACGTGTTCCGGCGCACTTGCTTGTTCCAACCCAGTTCGAGGGCGAGCTGAATGTGACATGCCGGGTCTTGCTTCACTCTTGCGCTTGCCAGTCTGCTTGTAGACGGTTTGACGCACGTCGTCCTCGTTGATCGCCAGGAGGTCGAGGTCCAACTCCGCATCTTCATCATTGTCACTTGGTCGGTCCATCAAAAAGTCAAAAGTCGATTCGTCGAAGGTGATGTCACGACTGATCACTACTTGGTCCGCCTCAATGTCGTACACTCGATAAGCTTTTGACGCTTCTTCGTAGCCCATGAACATCCCTTTACGAGCCTTCGGGTCCCACTTCAATCGCTTCTCCCTTGGTGTCAGGATAAACGCCCGACATCCAAACACGCGCATGTGCTTGACACTTGGTTTCGACTTGTACACGATTTCGAACGGAGTCTTGTGGTCGATCTTGAGTGAAGGCAGGCGGTTCTTGATGTAGATCGCCGTCATTGCCGCTTCAGCCCAGAAACACTTCTCCAGCTTTGCATGATGCAACAAGCTGCGTCCGATCGTGACGATGGTCCTTATCGCGCGTTCTGCGGTGCCGTTGGTCTGGTGTGCATAGGGCACCGTGATCTGTTGTTCGATACCATGATCTTCGTAGAAGGTCTTGATGGAGTTGGTCGCAAACTCATGCGCTCCATCGTGCCGAACAAACTTGATCTTGGTGCCAAACTGAGTCTGAATCTTGATGATGTGGTTCTTGATACAGTCTTCACTCTCAGACTTGGACCGCAGACAGAAGCCCTTCATGCAACCGCTGTCTTCGTCAATCACAAGCAGTAAGTATCTGCTGCCGCCGATCGAGACTTGTTCCATTGGCCCGCAGATGTCGAAGTGCAGCAACTCGAACACACCATATTGGCGTTTGTCACGGTTGGTTGGGAATTGTTTTTGGACCATCTTTCCTTGCTGGCAACCGCGACACACACTTGGACCAGTCGAGTTGAGAGGTGCCTTGGCGTCCTTGATCATGCCGGTGGCCACCATCTTGCGCAGAACTTCGAGGGGTGCATGACCCATGCGCGCATGCAAGTCGATAGTCCCATTGCGTGTTGCTGCATTCGCCGATCGTTGAGGAGTCCGCAGCCAGTAAAGTCCATCGACGAGATCCGTTGTTGCCACGACTTGTGTGGAATTCTTGCGCTTCACTTGCATCTTGGATCCATCGAACACGACTTGGAACCTGCCACCCTTGTTGATCTGTGGCACCGAAAGCAGATTCTTGCTCATACTTGGTACGAACAGTGCGTCCTTGATCTTGATGTCGCGTTCGTCACCATTGGGCAGAACCACCCGTTCCATGATGGTTCCCACACCCTTGATCGCAGCCTTGCTGCCATCAGCCACTGATAGTTCGCCTTCCTCTCGCTCATTCAGGCTTGCAAACTTGGCCTTGTCGTTGCAGATGTGATGCGTCGCACCGCTGTCGACTGCCCACATCCCTGGCATATTCTTGCCCGTCGAAAGTCCAGCCTCCAGCGAAACCGCGAACGCAACTCGATCGTAGTTGTCATCGTAGTTGCTGTTGGTTCGCCACTGAACGTTGTTGGCTCCGCGTCCACGAGCATTGTTGCCGCCGCGTCGAGCTCCACCTTGATTTTCGTCCTTCTGCTTGGTCCAGCACCGCTCCGCCGTGTGCCCCAATTTTCCGCAGTATGTACACTGGCGAGGTTCACGCTCGGTACTGAACGCCTTCGCCGCGTCTTCAGTCTTCACCGATGTCGTCTTGTCACCTTGCCTCTTGATGTGCTCATTCGTGAGCACTCTCACGACGTCTCGCGATTGCAGTTCCGCGCTGCTCATCCCCAAGTTGAGAACGACGTTCTCGTAGCTCTTGGGGAGGCTGCGCAACAAGCAGATCGCCACGTCCTCGTCCTCCATCTTGGCGCCGATGTTGCTGAGCTTCGCGCTGATGTTGAGGACTTCGTTGCAATGATGCAACACATTGCAGCTCTGTCATCTCCATACTGAAAATCTGGCGCTTCAGGTAGATGTGCACAGCCTTCTGAGATCCGCCGTACAGTGTCTTCAAACGCGCCCACGCGACCCACGCCTCTTCACAGTCATCAACCACGTGATGATAATCCGCGCTCATGTGCAGCAGCATCAAGCCGAACACA